GGGAGCCCCAGACATGCCATTTTTTATGGCCGATGTTGTGGCATCCCGGGGCTGTCCCGGGGCTGCCCCGGGGCTGTCCCGGGATACCCCGGGGCTAACCCGGGGCTATCACGGGGAAGTCCCGAGGCTCTCCCGGGGCTGTACCGGGGCTGTCCCGGGGAAGTCCCTGGGTTTCCCCGGGACTGTCGCGGGGCTGCCCCGGCGTTGTCCCAGGGCTGTCCCGGGGTTGTCCAGGGGCTGACCCGGGGCTGTCCCGGGGTTGACCCGGGGTTGTCCCGGGGATATGCCGGGGCTGTCTCGGTGCTGTCCCGGGGATGTCCCGGGGCTCTCGAAGGGATGTCCTGGGCTGTCCCCGGGCTGTCGAGGGGATGTCCCGGGGCTGTCCCGAGGTAGTCCTGGGGATGCCCCGGGGCTGTCCCGGGGCTGTCCCAGTGTTTTCGCGGGGATGTGCCCGGGTTGTCGCGGGGTTGTCCCGGGGCTGTCCCGGGGCTGACCCAGGGCTGTCCCGGGGCTGCCCCGGGGCTGTCCCGGGCTACCCCGGGGCTAACCTGGGGCTGTCGCGGGGATGTCCTGGGGCTCTCCTGGGGTTGTACCGGGGCTGTCCCGGGGATGTCCCGAGGCTCCTCTGGTGCTATCTTGGTGCAGTCCGGGGCCGTCTTGGGGCTGTTCGGGGCCGTCCCGGCGCTGTCTCGGGGATTCCCCGGTGCTGTCCCGAGGCAGCCCCGGGGTTGTCCACGGGCTGACCCGGGGCTTTCCCGGGGTTGTCCCAGGGCTGTCCCGGGGATGTCCCGGGGCTGTCGCGGGGATGTCCCGGGGCTGTCTGGGGATGCCCTGAGGCTGTCATGGGGATGCCCCGGGGCTGTCCCGGGGATGTCCCTGGGCTATCGCGGGGCTGGCCCGGGGCTGCCCGGGGCTGTCCCAGGAAAGCTTGGGGCTGACCCGGGGTTGTCGCGGGGATGTCCATAGGCTCTCCCGGGGCTGCCCCGGGTTTGTCCCGGGGATGTCCTGGGGATGACCCGGGGATGTGCCGGGACTGTCCTAGGGCTGTCGCGGGAATGTCCCGGGGCTGCCCCGGTGCTGTCTTCGGGCATTCCCGGGGCCGTCTTAGGGCTGTCCCGGGGCTGTCTCGGGGATGTCA